TAAATTGGATATGAGGAGATCTTTTTTCAATATTAATATTAAGGAGTGAGTGTATACTAATTTGCATTTGGATTTTAATATTAGTGGTAATCCCTTGTGGTCGGACAACCTTTTGTCATGCACTTTGGATGTAGAGGAATATGGAACAACATGATGAGAACTTTGTGAGACCTAAAATTACGTGGCGACACATGCTACTAAAGTTGCTCATAAGTATTTTTTTGGATATGGAGCTTTATAGTAATAAGATGGATTTGTCTCGAGAAGTTAAGCAAATAAGGTGGTCTCCTCCCCCTTTGGATTAAGTGAGATTAAACGCACATGAAGTTAATAAGAATGACTTGATAGCTGGCCATGGTGGTCTTTTAAGTGATTTTACAAGTGAGCGTCTTGGAGGCTTCACAAGACATTTGTGTTCTTGTAGTACATATATTGTTGCATTTTGGACAATACTAAAAGGATTAAGATTAGTAAAAGAGTTCGGATTTCAAGCTATTGAGCTTCATATAAATTCTAAAGAGGTTGTTCAAAATATTTTGGATTCTTGACATGGTAGTATTATTAGAATGTGATTGATACAACAAATTCAACAGTCTCTCAAACTGGATTGGGAAGTGCATGTTTGTCATATTTACTGTGAGTTGAACACTTGTGCAGATGCACTTGCCAATAAAGAGTGTGATACATGTTCTAATTTGATGCTTTATGAGCGATTTTTTGCTCAAAATTTTCTTTTTTCGTTAATTAGTTGTATTAGAGTCTTTACTTCTAAATTGATTGTTATGTAATCTTTTTTCTTTGAGATTCAACTCTCTTTTCTGTAAAAAAATTATTTATTCAAAAAAATTAAATTCACAATTTTAAAAATAAAATTACAAAATAAAATAAACGGAATATATGGTATATTCGAAAATCAATTTGAATTTAGTTATGAACACAAACTATAACCCAAAGAGTTAAGCTAACTAGCTAGCACTCAACTTTTCTCATTCAACTATAAATAAAGGCTCTTCTATTCTCAATTCAGTGCACATCTTAAGAACTTTTCAGTAACCAAGCTACTTCCTCTTTGCTCTATCCATAGCAAATGACTTTTTCTAAGCTTCTACTTTCATCTCTTTTGCTATCTTTGCTCATTCTCCATCTTGTTCATGCTCAACAGATAGGTAAAAATAACTAATATAGACAAATAGATATCAGTTTTTGATTCATATGAACTTTTTTACGTTATTTAACAATCACTTTTATTTTAATCACTTCAAGGATGTATTTGATATGACTTTTATAGATTGCAATGGAGCATGTGCTGCGAGATGCCGTTTAGCATCTCGGCAGCACCTCTGCCATCGGGCATGTGGAACTTGCTGCAGGCGCTGCAACTGCGTGCCACCGGGAACTTCTGGTGGCCAAGAAGTGTGTCCATGCTATGCCAACCAAACCACCCATGGAGGCAGACGCAAGTGCCCTTGAATAAGTTGAATTAATCACTTCCATAACCAACTTATGCAATGCAAACTATCTATGTGTGTGTGGAGCAAAGACTTATTGCTTTGTGGAAAATAAAATTCTGTTTTCAATTCATATTGTATTTTATGCTAATTTGTGGTGTGTGTTTATAAATGTAATTTTTAATAATTGCATTGTGATCATATGATTATTGTGATATATTATTATTGTGCTTTATCTATTACATCGGTTATGGTTTATAAGTGTTATCTATTAGTCTACATAAAAATTTCTATAAACTTTTGATTTTATTTGGAGACAAGACCACCACATAGAAATTTTATATGGTGAACTATAGAACCACTACTCATCACTTCATATTATATCTGCAATAATACTAGATTTATTTCCGGACCTATAATATAAGTATGGCCTTTTTGAAAGTTTTTCATAGACTATAAGGCTTCACTTGAAATACATTTTCATACTGACATATTTAAATTAAGTAACCTGACGCATTTTAAATTGACAAAGAAGCTAATATATTAATGAGATCAAGTTATATTTTAATATTCAGAGGGAAAGACTTTATATAACAATTGTTTTGAACTGATCTACACTAATTAATTTACAATCATGATGGCTCAATCCTTTATAGACAATAGACTCTACCCATTATAGTCCTTCTCATCCGGAAATTCAAAGTTCGTAGATCGGTAGTCATCTATAGTTTGATGCGCCAAATGATCTGTCAATACACTTCTTTTGATTGCTTTTTGTGTAGTGTACTGAATGTCGTATTCAGTTAAGATCATTTGCCATCGGAATATTCTTCCAGAGAGAGCTGGCTCCTCAAAGATATACTTGATGAAATCCATCTTAGAGATCAACAAAGTAGTATGAGTCAACATATACTGTCTTAGTCGGCGAGCAATCCATGTCAAAGCGCAACAAGTTTTCTCGAGCAATGAATATCTTGTTTCACAGTCGGTAAATTTTTTGCTAAGGTAGTATATTGCATGCTCTTTTCGACCAGACTCGTCATGCTGCCCCAACACACACTCCATTGAATTCTCTAACACGGTTAAGTACATGATCAACGATATTCCTTCAACTGGTGGCATCGGGATTGGAGGTTCTTGTAAGTATTCCTTGATTTTATCAAAATCTATTTGACAATCGTCGTTTCATCTAACTACTTGATCTTTCTTCAGCAACTTGAAGATTGGTTCACAAGTAGCATTCAAGTGAGAGATGAATCAGGCAATGTAGTTGAGTCGTCCCAAGAAACCTCTGACCTCCTTCTCAGTATGGGGAGCTGGCATTTCTTGGATAACTTTGACCTTTGCGGGATCAACCTCAATACCCTTACAACCGATGACGAAGCCTATGAGCTTTCCAGATCTCACCCTAAAGGTGTATTTGTTGGGATTCAACCTCAGCTTGTATTTCTCCAGCCTTTCAAATAGCCTGTGCAGATGATCAAGGTGTTCTTCCTCAGTTTTCGATCTCGCTATCATGTCATCAATATAGACTCCTATCTCATGATGAATCATATCATGAAATAAAGCCACCATAGGCTGTTGATAAGTTGCGCCTATATTCTTCATCTCAAAAGGCATGACCTTATAACATAAGGTTCTCCACTGTGTGAGAAATATAGTTTTCTCCATGTTTTCAGGCGCCATTTTGATTTGGTTGTACCCTGAGAAGCCATCCATGAAGGATAATACCTTATGCTGAGCAGTGTTGTCAACCAAGACATCAATATGCGGTAGTGGGAAGTCATATTTGGGGCTTGCCCTATTTAAATCCCTGTAGTCTACACACATACGGACCTTACCATCTTTCTTCGGAACTGGAACAACATTTGCAACCCATTAGGGATACGACATCACTGCCAAGAAACCTGCATTGAACTGTTTCATTACCTCAACCTTGATTTTCTCTGACATATCAGAATGCATGCGATGAACCTTTTGTTTGATCGGAGAACAACCCTCTTTCATTGGCAGACGATGAACCACAATATCAGTATCGATCCCTGACATGTCTTCGTATGACCAAGCGAATACCTCAACATAGTCGTGCAACATCTGAACCAATATGCTCCTGACACTGTCTTCCAGGTTGGCGTCAATCTTGACTTCTTTCTTATCTTCCTCAGTATCCAAGTTTATCACTTCGACCGGTTCTTCGTGCGGTTGGATAGCCTTTTTTTTCTTGTATCAGGAGTCTGGAAAGTTCTCTAGGTATCTCACAATCTTCTTCACCTTCATCTTCAGCTTGATAGATTGGATTTTCGAAGGCATAAACGAGAATAGTAAAATTGTTGTCAATGAGATCCAGAGTGGATGTGGATCTGCAAATGTGTGTGTGTTCATGTAAGGTCACATGGCTATTTGAAAATGCAGTGAAGTAAAAGAAAGACAAGGAGCAAAAAATTTGAATGCAAAGTCAACCAATATTTTAATTAAATGATCATATGATATATGAAATGACAACCCTTAACAAATGAATATTGTGCCCCGGGAAAGGCACAAGGTTTAAAGTCATTATTTTAAAACAAATTATACAAACAAACTTCTTAAAGCAATAAAAATAGGAAATAGAAATTACTCCTGGCTGAAGGAGATTGAGATGAAGTCTTTAGCCATCCAGTTGTTGATTCCACCTTCAGTAGTTGGGAATATCCAATTGTCCAAGTCACCATTACTATCAGTGTCTTCCAGAGCATTGACTTCATTGTTGCTAATACAGATAGATAGGTGGTCTTCTAGCACGAACATGATGAACCTCTTTCTGAGCCTTTGAAGTGAAACCCAAACCAAATTTGTTAGATTTGTAGGGGATATCAGGAAGTTTTCCCTAGATAGTGCAACCTTCATCCTCTACCACAACCCTTGCGTCCTTCACGAAATCCATTCTTGGTGGGTTTTTAGAGACCCCAGGAATAATAGCTTTACCAACAACAATTGTTGGGGAATTACCTCAAATGTCTGACAAGGAGTTTCAATGAATTCACCATCTATTTCGACATACTTGAAATAATTCAAACGACTAACCATATATTCTTCCTCTTCACAGACTGTGACAATCTTCCCTTTCACTGGGTACTTCAGCTTTTAATGCAATGTAGAGGTAATTGCACTTTCCCCATGGATCCACGGGCGTCCGAGAAAGTAAGAATAGACTGTGCGGATATCCATTACATAAAAAGTTGAATTGAAAACTTGAGACCCCACCTTGATCAGAAGATCAACCTCTTCGTAGACCATTCTTTTTGAACCATCAAAGGCTCTCACCATAATATCGTTGGGTTTGAACACCAGCCAATCACAATCCAGCCTATCCAAAGCACCTTTTGGTAAAACATTCAGGGAGGAACCTGTATCTACTAACACATGCACCAAAGTAGTGCCTTTGCATTCAATAGAGATGTGCAGAGCTTTGTTATGATTCTTTCCCGCCAGAGTTAAATCTGTATCAGAAAAGCCTAAACCATTATCAACGGTTAGGCTTGCTGCACAATTCTCAAATTGATCTGCAGTGGTCTCTTGTTGTACATGGGCATTCTTCAAGAATTTCAATAAAGCTTGGGCATGTGCTTCGGAGCATAATAACAAGGACAACATGGATATTTTTGAGGGTGTCTGCCCCAATTGTTCAACTATTTTGTAGTCACTTTTTTGGATGATCTTCAGAATTTCTTCCATCTCCTGTCTATATGGGTCTTCAATTGTAACATCTTTGGATGGAGCCTTCATCCGGACAGGCTCAGTTACTTTCTCTTTACCTCAGGTGGTAGCAGTTGACCCAGCAACAAGGGTATGAACAAGTGTTGTAGTAGTTGTTGGAGGAGAGATCTTCGGACAAAAGATCCTTCCTATCATAGTGACCTTACTAGTTCCGACAATGTTTTTAATTCCAGGATCTTCATTTTCATTAATCCATGGCTCTTTCTTGATGCCATGATAATAAACTTCTACTCTATAGTTCTAGGGCACAACTTTGTCAGAGGAATAGGGGACTGGCCCTGATGTAGTGATGATTAGGGGAGCCACTCTCGACTCAGCATGAATCCTTATAAGACCTCTAGAGGTGATCCTTATAGGAGTATTAGAAATGGTGATTATAGAAACATCTTTAAGTCTCAGCTCTTGAGATATACTTTCAGGAAAACTCTTCATGGACAGAGTTTTCTCGAACATAATTTCATGGCTATCAATCAGGAGTTAGATACCATTCTTCAGCCACATACATCCATTAGTTTGGGAAGCACAATGGTAACAATTCTCAAGGCAGCCCGGAAATAAACCGGCTCTTAACAAATTCTCCTTAACGGTCATCAAAGGAGTAGTCAAATCACTGATGTAGGAGACATAGGAAACATCGTCAATAACATTAACACCTTTACCATGACTGGGCATGGCTGCAGTAATCACATTAGGGGCCCGTGGAGGGTAAAACTCAATCACTTTGTTGTTAATCAAATCTTGGATTTTTCTTTTTAGGGCCCAACAATCATTGGTATCGTGCCCAGGACTATTGGAATGGTATGCACACCTTGCACTTGGGTTTTACTTTGGAGATGATGTGTTGGGATTTTGAGGAGGATCCCGTAGTGTTATTAATTTTTCTTTCAACAGATGTTGTAAAGCTTGATACAATGGCATGTTGATCCTATTGAACTGCCTCATCGGGGCATCTGGCCTACGCTGATTGTTTTATCGTTGTGGTTGTTGAATTGGGGTTGGGTTAGAAATCAATATTGCTCCTACTGATTGATAACGATCATTCTTGACACGGCTCCTTTGGCCATTAACCGCATTACTTTCCTTCTTACCAACAAATGGTTTCTTCACAATACAAGAGGATGCATCCATCTGAATCTTCCCTCTTTTGATTCCACTTTTAACTCATTCTCCAGTCAAAATCAGCTCAGTAAACCCTGACGAAGAACTCCCAATCAGCAAATTAAAGAATGGGCCCGACAGAGTGCCCATTAACATGTCCACCAATTC